TTGATATGAAGATTAGGTAAATTTTCAAAGCTTGCTGGAAACATCTAAATATTTAAATAAATTATTATTATTAAAAATTAGTTAATTAATGATAAATATAATACTTACTTCAAGAAGAGCGCATTGTTTATCATTTAATGCTTGAGATAAATTATCATAATATTTTGTCCTTGAAATTATATTAGAAAATATTTCTTTTGATGTTTTTGCAACAAAAGCCCAAGTATTTATTAATTTTTTAATCACATCATTTAAATGAGATAAACCAAGTCTTTCTTTAGTTGTTGTAAGGTATTCTTTTTTGATAGCATCTAAATGTAAATATTATTGAAGAATAAATGGTAAAATCATTAATAATCGTAAAATATCTGACATTATAAAGCTATGTCAATGTGTAATTGGATTTGGTAATCATGACCACTTTTTTGGAGTTTTAAATGCTTTCCAATATTGAATTATATCTGATTCTCCTTGTGAAGTAAAAATTGAACATGTATAATCTAAAAGTCGTGCAACTTTTCCTGCAACTGCATGATAAGGATCTTGTGGTGTATGAAGATGTCGATCATGAAAAAATGGATCTAAAGGACCAGGATATAATCACAATCCCAGTTCTGTACTACGTTTTGTACGAGCACTATTAGAATTAAGTTTTTAATTTCTTTAAATTGATTATTAGTTATTTGATGATAACGACTATTTAAAATAATATCAAAAGAAATATCTGTTAAATTTTCTTTTGCTGCATAACATGTTCGACATCCATACTTAGCATTATGACGAAGAATTCCAGCAATATCATTGACTTGAGGAAGATCTGTTGTAATTATACCTAAACCTCCTATTAACCAATATTTTTTGTTATTGATTACTATCATAAAACCTTGTTCAAGTTGATTGATTTCTTCAAGAAATGGTTTAATAAAGTCATGAATATCAGTACCAAAAGGTACTAATCCAATAATAAAATGATTTCATAGTTGTTTTCGTAATTTTCGTGGCATATTTCCAATTTGTAAATATACACCTCTAAGTGAATGATAGGTATTCCGAAATGTTCCAAAGTCATCATAATATAAATCTAAAAAAAACTTAAGAATAGGTATTTCAGATGATGGATCTTGAAATGATAAATATTCAGTTGGATGTTGATGATGAAGATTAATAGTACGGATTTTCCATTGATTATTAAATTTGTATATAATTTCAGCAACTGAAAAATCATATTTTAATGGTGAAACATTATCTTCAAGCCATATTATACAATGATCAATAAGATATATAATATCAATAAATAGTAATGTTGACTCTTCAAGTAACCAAAGTTTTTGATTAGCATTTAAAAATCGATCTTGTGATTTAAGATGTAAAGGAATTTCATTAAAAGATAATAAAAGTTGAATCCGAACCTTTAAAATACCTTTTACTATAATAAATGATCTAATCCAACCATATTTAATATTATGATTTAAGGTATAATAGCGAATAAAATCACTACTTGCAAATTCACCTTTTGTTATATTAATTTTTGATTGACCAAATAAAGGTGACTCAGCCCAAAGATCTCTATGCCAAAATTCTTCACATGTTTCATTATAAACTCCTGGTCCAAAATATAATTTTGAATTAATAATAGGAATTTGTAATATTCTTTTTAAATGTTCAATAAGTGAAAAATAATAAGTTTGAGTTGTTTCTTTGGTAGTAGAAGGAGTTTTATGAATTTTTACTAGCACTTTATGACTTCGTATTTCCATTAATGGTAATTTTTCACAATATTTTTTGAGTTTTTGTAAATTAGAATATAATTCATTAACTTCAAATAGAGGATGTTTAAGAATTTGAATAAGATCTCAATAAGCAGTGGTTGCTAAAATAAATTACAAACAATTAAATAATAATTTATATTTTATAAAAATATAAAGAAATTACT